AAGTCAACACACACACCACAGTTGTAGCACTGCTTACCTGAGGGTGGCGCTACTAAGAAGCTTTTACATTCCCTGTCACGTCTAACCTACTATCACTACCTTTAGATTCCACATGTGGGATTGAACCTAAAGTCTAAACTGACGCTACTGCAGTTCCATGATAGTGCCTTTGAATCAGTGACACTGTGTGTTCTTGACTCATATGAGCAAAGCTAGACCTGCTTTTAAACTGACAATGGAGAAAGATTGATGTATAAGGTATTTAATCAATGCAGCTTCACAGAACCAGGACCAAAGGCCAGTGTACACAGCATGAAAGCCTTTAATCAGATGGTTATTCAAATTAGATTTTTTTCCCTTATGTATAGCAGAAATCTGAATGTTTGACTCCTTTGTTGAAAATGAATAATTTGCACAACACATTTCTGTTACTTGATTCTTTACAGGACAAGCTTCAAAACTTTAAAAAGTCAATCAATAATTTCTGCTGCTAAACTGCTGATGTCATTTCACAGGCAAGTGAGTTTGAATGGTCTACCTGTCGAGGTCCAGTCTCTAACTAGATGCAATATGAAATCCCCAGTGCTGCCTCCTCAACACTAACAGCAAATTGGTGTAGTTGAGAGTCTAAACAGGTATCCGGTAAGTTAACCTGGCCTGTCATTTTAATTGCTGTTGAAATATCCTCTGGATTCACTGCAACCTCCACCAAACAGCCTATACCTCCTCAATTACCTTCACATCTCTTAGCTTTGTTTGTCTGACCATGACTCACCCAGGCCCGCTCTGCTGTCACATATCAAGCCCCGCAGCTGACAGCGGCAGACACATACAGGAGCAGGAGTGGTCAGTGGCGAGAAAGATTCATGGCTGTACATGCGTATACCATGGTCACGGGTTATAAAGTGACTATCGTATTGGGTGAAGTATACTTTCTTGCCTGGATTAATGGGAGATATCCAATGGTATGGATATTACCATGCTTCAATGAACACATATATGGATTCCATATTCAGTAATGTAGCTTGGTTTATTAGTGTCATCTAATTAAAAATGAATGCTTGGCTGATTTTAAATACCCTCCTCATGACTGTATGCAAACACTGTTGTTGCATTAAAAAAATAAGTCGACTTCTTTTTGGCAGCACATTTGAACTTGACACTTGTTCTAGATTTCAACTGCTGCAAGATTTAGGGGCTAAATAAATGCGTACACTTTATCAGTGAATGTGCCCCCAGACAGTTAACAGAGTTTAATCCCTTCTGAAAATGGCACCTGCAGGATCAGAAGACAGCCCACTTTGAATCTGCAGCTTTGACTCTGGAACTAACCTGTTACATTTAATCTCAACAAGTGCTGAGCGATTTCTCTTCCTGAAGACAAGATATTGCCAATCCCCCCCTGCCACACACACGTGCGCACGCACACACACACGCGCACGCATACGCATACGCACACGCACACACACACTCTCACACACACACACACACACACACACACACACACACACACACACACACACACACACACACACACACACACACACACACGAGAGCTGCTTGAATATAACTAATATATTACCCTGAGAGGAACTGACTTAATCAGAACCAGCAGACTATTTTGACCTTAGCATGGACCTATTCGCAACATCTATCAGCCTGAGCCGGGGCCAAAAGCCAGAGGTCTGAGGGTCAGACTTGAGCTTAGAAGAACTTTCCTACTCCACTCAGGCTATCTGGTCTAAGTCAAAATGTTACTTTTTCGAGCTCCTTAACCCAGAAATTTGTATATCTCTCCTTTCGGTTCCATTTGAACCCAGGTGATTCTTCTGGAAACAGTACATTTTTTTCTTTCTGCTCGTTTTCTTCTACTGTTGTTGAGATCAGAAACCTAAGGGGCAGTGGGATAATGCCCTAAATTCCCTGTAGATAGTGTATAATTACACAGACAAATTGTAATCCTGATTAGCCCCAGCAGCCTTTCCAGCCTGTTTACATAATCACATTGAGAGAAAGTCTTCATCGAGGGCTCAGTGGCCAGATTACTGTCTGTGCAGACCCAACCTGATTGCCAGCAATTAGCAACTGTCCAGGATAAGATTGAAAGAATAACTAAATTTGATCAAAATATGGAAGCTAGATGGAGTTTTGTTGGGGGAGGATACTAAAATATTACAAGAAGTAAGGGGACATGAGAGATGAAACTTTGAACAGTCTGTTGGCTAACATTAATCTGTTGCTGTCATTTGCATGTGCAGGAAAGAGGCCAGTGCCTGTGTGTCTTGTTTGTTCTCTCCTGTGGTGTCCCTTCAAGTTTCCATTACGATCTATTCGTTACCATGTCAAGTCTGTACCAAAAATACACACACAAAACTGAATGTATGCCATTTGTATATCAGTTTCGATGTGAAAAGTTGCATTTGGAATGGATATAAAAGTTATAAAAGAAAATGAAAGATCAACAGTTTACATGAAGAGTATCCTCATAACCATCAACAACACATAGGGCAGATCCTCTAAGCTGTGGCTAGAAATCTGGATCCTTAAAGTTTGACTTATCTCCTTTGCTTGTGATATCATTCCTACACAGGAAGGTGTCTTAAGAAGGATGCGCGCTAGGCTTTGAGACTGTTTCATTACAATGAAACTGAAAGTTTTTCTAGCGATGGATCTCAAAAGAAAAAAGGACAAATGTAGTTTAAGAGAAGCTATAGCTCAATGTGCACTGTCACTGTAAAGGAATTCAATTTGTATTTGACCCAAGTCAAAAGGAAAATCCAGTCCCTGCGATTTAGCATCCTAAATTTGTGTCTGTGCTGAGCACTTCAGAAGTTCCCAAAGGATTAGGTGACATACTTGCTGTGGATGTCCTCAGTTGCTTTGGTAGAGGACTAACACAAAATAAAAAATATATATTCAGGCATCAGGTTGCAGTTTTCTTAATTTAAAAAAAGAAGTTGCTGAACTTCACTTAACTGTGTCAAGAGCCAAGAATCAGACAGGTGACTGACAGGACTTTGTGAACCGAGATTGAAAACTGTGCACCACCCACACATATATTTGCTAGAGGTGCTTTTCTTCTATTAGTTTATTTCTGAGCTAGGATTCTATGTTGTACAAACTTCACAAGTTATAGGGCTTCTTTTTTTCAGCATCATTATCTTAGCAGGAGGTGAGTCACAGGCCAGATCCAGCAGATATCTTTTTACTTCAGCAAACATTGAGTCAGCTGTCAGAGCAGAGGAACAACAGCTGTTCATTGGATCATCCTCCGTGCCTTTCTCTATGTCATTGTTTCCTTTCTCACTTTTCCAGAAGAAGACCCAGGCCTCCTCCTCCTCCTCCTCCTCCTCCTCCTCCTCCTCCTTTCCTCCCTGCTTCCCCAATTCCTGGCTGGCTGGCTCCCTAATAAGTAACAGAACTAGGCGGATTGGCAGTGGCCTCAAGGTTTGACATTGCCACAATGTGGGTGGTGATGAAACAGCATAGCACCCGACTCTGCTCGACTTGACTTGGCTTGTTCTTGGTGGGCGCTGCTATTCTACATGCTGCACATTTCATCCACCCCCAACAGACTTGCATGAAAAATACTCTAAGGGTGAAAAATCAGCATGTAAATTGATATCTGTGAGTGCCCATATTCAGATATGCATACATGCATTAAACAGATTAACAGCCATGCACTTACACACAGACCTCTTGTGAATACAAACACTTGCACACATATTGGGATGAAAACCCTTTCTAGGGTTGGAATAGGATATGACTTTTCCTGCTCACCCTTTAATTAAAGTTGAAAATGAGAAATCTTAGTCATCTACATCGACTATTTGATATACAAACTCACACATGAACACACAAACACACACTTGTGCACAGTTTTTGTTATCAACATGTGACTGCCTGCAAGGAAGGAAGTAACGGATTTTTATTTGTTTTCTGTAAATGTTCCCCAAATGTCAGTGGACAATGGATTAGCACATGGTAAATTGCAGTGTAGAAAATGAGCAAAAATTGCATAAGCTCTGGCTGTATATAAATTTCATGAATCAAATTACTGTGGTAAACACTGGGAAGAAAAACAGGGGTGGTCAATCAATGAACCACAAAGTCACAGAGGAATTTTGTTGCTTCATGAATTCAGAGAGGATTAGGACTGCATTTAAATAACTGTGTCAGAAAAGTGATATTTGGGTAGTGCTGATTTGTTTCCCCCTTGGTGTGGATAAAATTAGCTGGTGCACATAAGGAAAAAACCGATGGAACCAGCAGTTACCTCAGCAGCTAGAGTGAGTATTCAAAGGACAGACCATGGGCAAGAAAGAGCCTGTAGAATACTAAAAAGCCCACCTTACACCTGCCTGGACTGGCAAGTCCGATAAACACCAGTCGACAAATTGGTTCCACACTACTAATTGCTCCCCCCCTTTACCCCCCACCCACCTCCCCACTCCGCCAAATGGTTCCAGTCACATTTCTGGGGAGAAATTTGGCCTGACGCAAAACCCTCACATAAATACTTGAAAACTCGACCCAGAAAGGAGAAAATGCGCACAGCCCTGGCCAAATAAAAACGGGAAATCTCTCCACATCCTTTAGGAAATCTGCAGTGCATGCACTTGCAACAATTCACTAGTTACCCTACTAAGCAAAGCAGCTCACGTAGGCTATTAGAAGAAACGTAGGCAACCGCAAGAATATCCATTGAGCGCCTCAGTCAAAGCCTGCATTGAGCTAAGTGAAATGCGTCCCTCAAAACTCCATCCAGTAAATCGTGGCATCCCTATTTTTGCGCACGTCTGTAACGTTAAAGCTTAATGTTACAGACTTAAATAGACAGAAGCGCACACACACACACACACTCTCTCTCTCTCTCTCTCTCTCTCTCTCACACACACACACACACACACACACACACACACACACACACACACACACACACACACACACACACACATGCGCATGAGGAAAGACAGAGATATTGCTGCAGTGGCTCGTACCTTTCACACAAGTGAACATCAGTGAAAAGATGAGATTCCAAAAAACAAATCCTGTCCTAATCCTCATCGTTTTTGCTTGAACAAAGTCCCCTCGACCACATTTAACGCATCTCCTGTTGAAAACGTCCCGTAGTTCAATAGATCCGTCGTAGTATCCGTCCCTGTAAATCCCTTTCATGCTCACAACTAACACATGTAACCTAAAAAGCTGATCTTTCTCTTGCTTGAAGTAGGTTTCCTCTCCCTTGTCAGTGGAGAAACAGGCAGAGCCGCCCGCCGCGCTATGTCAGCTGATAGGAGAGAAGTGAGCAGGACTGAATTTTAGGAGAGGACCACAGCAACCTGGACGAGGGCTCAACCATCTCTGCTGAGAGGGGCATCAAGTGTGGGGATCTGTGTCGGAGCGCGCCTGTATCTGCTGCTCAACATCTTTCCTTTTTAATCCCTATTAGGACCGAGAGAGGAGTCTAGCCGACCATTTGAATGCTGCCTTTATCGATCTGCAATTGAACCACGCAGAGCGAGAGAGAAAAGGTGGTGATGGTGGGGAAGGAGGGGGTTTAGATGGAGAGAGGGAGAGAGAGAGAGAGAGAGAGAGCGTCCTGTGTAAGTATGATGTGGCTCCTGTGTGGGTAACAAATCATGAAGTGGGAACAGTGAGGTGTGGGTGGCAAGAGAGGAGGAGGCACGTCTTTATGGGGAGGATGTAAATCCTGAGGAAGAAATGAACTCTGCTAATGACAATGATGTGTGTGTGTGTGTGTGTGTGTGTGTGTGTGTGTGTGTGTGTCTGTGAGAGCGAGGGAGGGTATAGGGAGGGGAGGAAGTAGTGGTGATAGGTGAGACTCAGACAGGCGGCATGCCGTCCCGAGCTGATGACAGAAATCCGCCCGGTAGGCAATTCCACCATAACTCTGATTTTCATTTTGGAGATCGAGCGCAGCCGTTATTGGGAGTGATGGGACTGGGCAATTTGCAATGCAAAGATGGGATGATGACGGCGCAGAGCTGCTCGGCTGCAGTGGGCCTCTTCTGCCATCTAGCTTTGGAAGAGTCACCGACCTGCACTTTGAAAAATCACGGAGGGGAAACGGGGAGCAGAGGAGTGGGAGGCAGTGATTGCACGTAGAAAAAGCATCAACACAGAGGCTTTCTTAAAGAGCTGTTCATTCTAATGGTTATATTTTCTTAATTCTCTAACATACTCTTGAATCTGTTCGTTTTAAATAGCCCAACAAATTAAAGTTTCAGAGCAGAGAGCATAGAGCAGAGCTTGGATATCAGGTGAGGTTTAAATCAATTATGTTCATCGCACCAGCTTTGATTAATGCCCATTTAATAATTCTACCTGCAATGACCTCCATATAAATCCATATCCTGTGCCCTAGTTTGGCAAGATTTATTGGCGTGGAGTCAGCAGGGTAAGTTCATAAGGAAAGCTAATAAATTAACCCGGAGCCTCTTTGTGTTGTGGGGGAGCCATAATATGCCTTTCAGTAATAGTATGTGAGCTGTCCATGGTGCTGAAACTTTAAACCAGAGCGTCTGCAGCCACTTTAGTGAGGAAAATGATTTATGCATTGATCATTCACCACCAAAAAAGAGTGCTTCAGAATTAAATGCCATTAAATTATAAATAATTGTGATTTAAACAGCAAGTAAACAGATTAAGAAACGGAGAAAGTCATTTCCCCTGGCCTTAAAATCCTGTGAATATCTTTCGATTATAATCGTTATGCATGTTTTGTTCTGTGTCTATGGGTAGTTGACCAGACTGTGTGAACCATCCATCCTTCCTCTGCTCTCTCTGGGGAGAATAAATGAGAGAAAACAGACTGATACTCTTCTAATCTTTTCCAATTATAAGGCAGCAGAGGGCATTGTGATTGTTTGTCATTTTCCAAATATTCAGAAAACATAACGCAACACTGTTGCAAATGCATGATAAATATCACATTTTTTATTGTAATGTTATTAGATTGATTTGAGATCTTTGCTGTAAATAGTTGCAGCACTTTATGTGCTATTTATTTTGTGAATTGTGTCTTTTTCTGTATTTATTGTGTTTTTGCCAGCTCAATTAAATGCATTGTAGCGATTTGTGCGAATCTCATTTTACATGTTTCTGTGGACAACTCGATATTTATCTAACTCATTGTACCCTTACAAACTGAATCTCTGCCACATGAGCAACAGATTTGTATCTGTGCTCCATTCCTCTGTAGAGTTATTTATCTCATTGGTTTATGCAGCAGAGGCAAACCATCACCAATGCTGCCATTGTGGAGTGGAAGGTCCCTTATTCCCTCCTGGCATCAGAATTCTTCAGGTGTGTTCGGGCCCAGTGGAGGCTGCTGGGAATGGATTGAGGCACCAGGCAGCTTGTCTTTACCACTGTAATCGACAGGTGGGCCCAGGAGAGTGGACTTCAGTTGTATTGATGCCTCTCGCCAGCTCTCGCTGCTTGATGAGCAATCAGACTGGCTCTTACCAGATCCTGCTGTTGCGTGTGCATCTGTGCATTCGGTTCTCTGTGTTAACTAGACGTAGATGCCAAATGGAATAAACAGTATACACATATACGTGTGTGCAAGCATGGTTGAGCATTCTGCCTGTGTGGAGGCATGTTTGGGAAAACATTTGCATGCTTTAGCTCAGACTAAAAGGGAATTCATGTGTTTAAAGTACTTTTATGTATTGGCCACTGTAATAAGAAGAACAGAACCAGTCAGCTAAACCAGCCAGAAAATAAGCCAGCCAACTCAGCAACCAGCCGGATTGCTTAGACTCTGTTTCCTCCTCAGGGGCTCCCCCGATGTTCTACCTGTAAATCCAAGCAGCATGTTCTGATTAGCAGAGGCCATGTATGTGGACTGATGCCTTGAGAGGATTTCATGTCACACAGGAGTAAAAGGTTGACAGTCTTGTGGGGGGCTTGGATGAATGTTTGTGCATGTGCGTATGCATATGTGGCAGGGCATGCACATGTATGGGGGAAGAGTCTATTCATTTGTATATAGCATGTGTGTGCCCTCTAGGACTTTACAGTAAAATATATGTGTATGTCTGTTTGCATGAACACATCCTGGAAAGACTAGCTTTCATCTTAGATGAAATCTTTCTGGCTGGGTTATATGTTGTGTTTGTGTGTGTTTACGTTCAGGGGCAAAGTGCAGCTGGTAGGGGGTTGATAGAGTAAGCACCGAGGTCGGATTAGCTGTCGTGATTCCCCCTGGAGGAATGTGTCTGAATCTGGCCTCTTTCACACACTGCTGCTAATCCACTGCTAGTTTCTGCAGCTCCATCGCTCTGGGTCTGCTACCTGCACCCAAGAGGCCCATGGAGGGGTGTGCAGGTGAAAAAGGGTAGAGGGGAGATATGTGTGCATGTGAGGTAAGATGGTATAGGGGGATGGGGATTGATAAACGAGTAATGAAGGGCGCCTGTAGCATTAAAACAATGTTTAACATGAAAGTTAAGTCAAATCCATGGTGTTTAAATGTGTGTTATATTGACTACACTATTTAATCTTGTTATAAATTCAGCCACAATGCTAGAGTGAATAATGTTCAGTTCATCCGAGTGCTGTGGGAAGTTGGCCTGTCAGTGAATAATGAATGGAATGGAGAAAAGAGACAGAGGTTAGCTTTGAAATAATGATGGGATTTTCTTTTAACCAGAGTCACTGGCGCAAAGTTATTTTTTTAAAAAGTGCCGAAAGTACACACAATCTTTTCTCAAGGACTAGTACAAATACGTTTGTAAAAGAAGACACAGGTAAATGCTGTTTTGGTGCAAAGCTAACTAAACTTAAAATTGTATTTTAGAGACTAGGGTTAGGCTACTTAAACCGAAATTAACCCGTTATCATATTTCTCATACAAATACAGAACCTGTGGGTAAGGGACAGGCTTTTGTTGTCTAAAGGACTCAGGTCTATGTTTGTACAACAAGTAATGTGGTCTACTTCATAGATAATCCGTGAGATTGACAGTTGGTTTGGCTAAGCGTCGGCAGTAATGCAGGTGTTGTGCCAGACCGTTGCCGTGCAGTGGGAGCTGAGCCTGAAGGCAAAGCCCTCGATTTACCGGTTAATTTTCGTCTCAACCCTCACCTATGGTCATGAGCTATGGGTAGTGACTGAAAGAATAAGATCGCGAATAACAAACGGCCGAAATGAGTTTCCTCCGGAGGGTGGCTGGGCTCAGCCTTAGAGATACAGTGAGAAGCTCAGAAATGTTAGGGGAAGCTCGGAGTAGAGCTGCTGCTCCTTCGCATCAAAAGGAGTCATTTGAGGTGGTTCGGGCATCTGATTAGGGTGCCTCCTGGACGCCTCCCTTTTGAGGTTTTCTGGGCACACCTGAATGGGAGGAAACCCCAGGGTAGACCCAGAGTTTGCTGGAGGGACTATATAACCCATCTGGCCTGGGAACGCCTTGGAATCTCCCAGGAGGAGCTGGAAAATGTTGCTGTGGAGAGGGAAGTCTGGGTTGACTTAAAGCGCTTGCTGCCACCACTACCCAACTATGGATGAGTATGTATGGATGCATGGAATTTACTAATCAGAATTAAACCAATTGCAAAGGAATGTTAAAGCAAGTCCAGAAATATTGTATACACCGGAAGCCAAGAAGAATTAGCTGTGGCTCACACAGTGTTGCAGCCACACAATAGCATCTGCAAACTGAGAGTTAGCTTTTTAAAATATATAAAAAATATTTGAAATGGAATTCATGCTGCTTTGAATCTGCTGGCTGGAAAACTGTCGCTTCAATTTTACTCAAGTCCAATCAAGTAGTCTTTGATACAGTGGAATATCCCTCTCTTTATTGTTCCATTCTGATACTGATTCTGATTTTTTGAAGTTTTTATGCGTCAAATAAATTATAACTTATTGTCCCATTTAGGTTTTAAACCTGTCATTCTCTTGAGAAAGCTGTGAGCAAAGATGTAGAATAAAAATTTAGCAAAGTTCTCTTAAAAGCATTAAAGCTAAAGTAACAAGACTCTTTTGAAAATGGAAAGGAGTACACAGTAGAGACTTTCTGGCCCTAAACACGAATCTATACAATTATTCACATACGACATTATCCTCCTGCAGGTTGCATGGTGGTTTATTGACATTATATGCATTGACAGTTTCACTGGCATGCCTTGCAAGATTATCATCAGAGTGAT